AAAAAGAAATGGGAGGAAAAGTTCCAAACTCATTCTACAAGGCCAGCATTACCTTGATTCCAGAACCAGACAAAGACTCCACTAAAAAGGAGAACCACAGACCAATTTCTCTGATGAACATGGATGCAAAAATCCTCAACAAGATACTAGCCAACCGGATCCAACAATACATTAAGAAAATTATTCACCACGACCCTGTGGGATTTATACCTGGGTTGCAGGGCTGGTTCAATATCCACAAAACAATCAATGTGATACATCACATTAATAAAAGAAAGGATAAGAACCACATGATACTCTCAATAGATGCTGAAAAAGCATTTGACAAAATACAGCATCCTTTCTTGATAAAATCCCTCAAGAAAGTAGGCATAGAAGGATTATACCTCAAGATCATAAAGGCCACATATGAAAGACCCACAGCTAATATCATCCTCAATGGGGAAAAACTGAGAGTTTTCCCCCTAAGGTCAGGAACATGAGAAGGATGTCCACTCTCACCACTATTATTCAACATAGTGTTGGAAGTCCTAGCCTCAGCATTCAGACAACACAAAGAAATGGAAGGCATCCAAATCAGCAAGGAGGAAGTCAAACTTTCACTGTTTGCAGAAGACATGATACTCTATGTGGAAAACCCGAAAGACTTCAGTAAAACACTGCTAGAAGTGATACATGAGCTCAGCAAAGTTGCAGGATATAAAATCAATGTGCAGAAATTGTTTGCATTTCTATACACTAATAATGAAGCAACAGAAAGAGAAATCAAGGAATTGATCCCATTTACAATTGCACCAAAACCCATGAAATACCTAGGAGTAAACCTAACCAAAGAGGTGAAAAATCTATACACTGAAAACTCTAGAAAGCTTATGAAATAGGGGTACCTGGGTGGCTTAGTAGGTTAAGGGTCTGAGTTTGGCTCAGGTCATGATCTCATGGTTTGTGAGTTCAGTTGCCACATCAGGCTCTCTGCTCTCAGCGCAGAGCCTGCTTTGGATCCTCTGTTTCCCTCTTTCTCTGCCCCTCCCATGCTCATCCTCTCTCAAAAATAAGTGAATGTTAAAAATAAAAAAAAAAGAAAGTTTATGAAAGAAATCGGAAGAAGACACAAAACAACTGAAAAACATTCCATGCTGATGGATTGGAAAAATATTGTTAAAATGTCAGTACCTACCCAAAGCAATCTACATATTCAGTGCAATCCCTATCAACATAGCACCAGCATTCTTCACAGAGCTAAATCCTAAAATTTGTACGGAAACTAGAAAGACGCCAAATAGCCAAAGCAATCCTGAAAAAGAAAACCAATGCTGGAGGCATCACAATCGCGCTCTTCAATCTGTATCACAAAGCTGTAATCATCAAGACAGTATGGTACTGGCACAAGAACAGACACGCAGATCAATAGAACAGAATAGAGAACCCAGAAATGGACCCAGAAACATATGGCCAACTAATCTTTGACAAAGCAGGAAAGAATATCCAATGGAAAAAGACCGTCTCTTCAGCAAATGGTGTTGAGAAAACTGGATACCAGCATGTAGAATGAACCTGGGCCACTTTCTTACACCATTCACAAAAATAAACTCAAAATGGATCAAAGACCTAAACATAAGCCAGGAAGCCATCAAATCAAGGAGAAAGCAGGCGAAACCTCTTTGACCTTGGACACAGCAACTTCTTACTCAACACGTCTCTGGAGGCAAGGGAAACAGAAGCAAAATTGAACTACTGGGACCTCATCAAAATAAAAAGCTTCTGCACAGCGAAGGAAACAATAAGCAAAACTAAAAGGCAACTGACAGAATGGGAGAAGTTATTTGCAAATGACATATCAGATAAAGGGTTAGTATCCAAAATCTATAAAGAAATTATCAAACTCAACACCCAAAAAAGAAATAATCCAGGGAAGAAATGGGCAAAAAACATGAGTAGACACTTCCAAGGAAGACATTTAGATGGCCAACCAACACATGAAAAAATGCTCAACATCACTCATCAACAGGGAAATACAAATCAAAACCACAGTGAGATACCACCTCACACCTGTCAGAATGGTGAAAATAAACATCTCAGGCAACAACAGATACTGGCAAGGATGCGGAGAAAGGGGAACGCTTTTGCGCTGCTGGTGGGAATGCAAACTGGTGCGGCGACTCTGGAAAACATATGGAGGTTCCTCAAAAGATTAAAAATAGAACTACCCTATGACCCAGCGATTGCACCTACTACATATTTATCTAAAGGATACAGGAGGGCTGATTCAAAGGAGCACAGGCACCCCGATTTGTTATAGCAGCACTATCAGCAATAGCCAAAGTATGGAAAGATCCCAAATGTCCATCGACTAATGAATGGATAAAGAAGATACACACACACACACACTGGAATATTACTTGCAGATCAAAAATACTGAAATCTTGCCATTTGCAACAATGTGGATGGAACTAGAGTGTATTAGGCTAAGCGAAATAAGTCAGAGAAAGACAAATACATGATTTCACTCATATATGGAATTTAAGATACAAAACAGATTAACATAAAGGAAGGGAAGCAAAAATAAGATAAAAACAGAAGGAGGCAAACCTTAAGAGACTCTGAATTACAGAGGAGAAACAGGGTTGTTGGGTTGGGGGAAGGCTAAGGGGTGAGGGGCAGTAATGAGGACACTCGTTGGGATGAACTCTAGGTGTTATACGTAAGTGATTAATCACTAAATTCTATTCCTGTAATTATCATTACACTATATGTTAACTAATTTGGATTTAAACTTAAAGAAGAGAAAATAGCCTATGTGAAAGAGACCAGACTCACATGGACACATACTCATATATAAAATGCAGAGTAGACAAATCCATAGAGACATAAACTATGTTGTGACCAGGAGACATGGTTTCATGGCTGTTTTGAACTTTAAATCTGTTTGAAAAAATGGAGCTGTAATTCACATACCATAGCTCACACTTTTTTTAAGATTTATTTTTATTTATTTTTATTTTATTTATTAAAATTTATTTAAGTGTTTTTATTTGAGAGAGAGAGTGCTAGGAAGAGGCAGAGAGAGGGAGGGAGAACCCCAAGCAGGCACCATGCCATTGGCAGGGAGCCCAACTCGGAGTACCAGCGGGATTAGGGGTGCAAACCCATGAACCCACAAACGGTGAGATCAGGACCTGAGCCCAAACCAAGAGTTAGATGCTTAATGGACTGAGCCACCCATGCTTCCGGTGCTCACACGTTTAAGAGTAAAACTCAGTGCTCTGTTTTTTGTGTGGTCACAGAGCTGTGCCACATCAGTGTACTATGCACAGAAGGGAAATAGAGCCTTTTACATTCCACATTCACAGGAACTGACTACAAACCGCGGTGATTTTCCTTGCAGAATATAACGCACACCTGAGTACAATAACATGTCACACCTGTAGCTGTGTCCTGCTGGGGCCCAGGGGTCCCATGTCCCACGGAGGCTGAGAGCACGGCCATGTTTGGTTGACCTGGGGACAGAGAAGTGGGAGCGGGGCCTTGCGGTGTCAAGAGTCAGGTCAAAACGCTGGGAGACCTTATCTTCTGTTCCGTGACATCACTGGTCATTGAATTGTTCTTAAACAGGGGACAGGGGCACCGTCACCTCGCCCGCGTGTCGACCACAGACACAACCGTCACCAGGCCCTTCTGCCCTGTCTCGTTCCGATCCGGCGCGGGACAGGGGAGGCTCCGCGGAGAAACCGAGTCAGATTCCCGGGACAAAGGAAGAGGCAGGCGGGTCAGCCGGCCAGGAGGGCGTTCGGCCGGAGCCGACCTCAGGGCGGGCGGATCAGACACGTGTGTACCGCCGGCCCGTCACTCAGGGCGTAGGAGGCGGGGCCTGGGGGATCTGCCCAATCTGGCGCCACAGGGGCGGTGCCGGGACCACCCTCCAATCAGAACGTGAAGGGCCTCAGGCTGCCCTATCACAGTGCGGCAGTGCGGTGTCTCGGAGAATTGTCCAATGGAGGTGGTGGGGAGTTATCTTCGGAACAGCATCCAATCAGATCGCATTGCCTGAAGCAACGCCCAATCCGTGCTTGGGGGCGCATAGCGCGGTGCATTTATATTACCGGGTCCGGAAACACTCCAATCAGGCCCTGGTGGGTGGGGGATGGGGTGATGCCATCCCGCTCGGTGAGTGTGAGCTCTGAGTCGTGGCTGCTGGTGTGCGCTTGTCCCGCGCTCACCCAGTTTTCCGGTCCGCTAGCTCCTCGGTTGGAGGAGGGGCACGTGAGGGCCGCGGAGTCGCCGGGTCGCGGGATCAAGAGGAGGACGCCCGGAGAGCTCCGTGTGCGGCCGCGAGATGGTGAGTGGCCGGTCCCTGGCCCGGGACGCGGAGGGGCTGGTTCCAACCGGCCTGAACCGGTTTGTAGCGACCGCGGACCCCTATTTCCCTGTTCCCCGCGAGTTCTCTCCCGAGTTTCCCCTGTGGGCCTTCGGATGGGATCCCGGCGTTCTCTCCCATCCTCGCGTGTGGGTCTCATAGTCTCTACCCGAATCTCCGCCGTGGACCGCGGTCCTAACCCTAGATCGGCCATGGGCCTCGGGGTGAGGTTCCTTTGTCCTGTCCCCTCTCCTCGTGGGGTCCCGGGGGTCCCGTCCAGAGATCTGTGGGCCGCGGGGTGGGGTTCCGGCGTCCTATCCCCTCTCCTCGTGTGGGTTCCGCAGGTCCTGACCCAAGTCTCTGTCTCTGGCCATGGGGTGGGGTCCCCGTGTCCCGTCACAATCACGGGTTTCCATGTGACCACCCGAGTCCTGGCTGGTGGAAGGAGGCGGGGACCACCACGTGCGGGGGCAGTAAAACCTGGGAATCGGAGTCCGGGAACTCACGATGGACCTGAGAGATAAATCCAAATTCGAGCTTGTCGAGGACACTTTGTTACAAAGGAGTTCCAACAGGGACCAGGTCCCGTCTCAGAGATCCTCGGATCCTCAGAGATTCAGCCTCTCCAGTGAAACAGAACCGGCGCTTGGCTGTTCTGCAAGAGGGGGATGGGCAAGAAGGCCCAGTGTCAGGATCCCACCCCTGCGGTGGAGGAAGGCCTCATTGGCTCAGGTCCCCCGGGCCTCCTTCCTCAGCTCAGTGGATGTTCAGCGTGTGGGCCACCCACAGCCAGGGGCCTGTGGGGAGGACAGTGGCCTGGGTAAAGTTTGGGTAGGAAAGGGGCAGTGGTGGACAGTTGGTCAAA